CGTGGTTGTTGCGCTTTGTAGTCTGGTCGATGTTTACCAACGTTTCAGAGGTCATACTGCCTCCGTCATCAGGACCTCTGAAACGTTGGTTAACATCGACCAGACTACACAGCGCAACAACCCAGAAGATGGAAATCTTCAAATTACTATTAAATACTAACACAGCTAGTTTTCAATTGGAAGATATTCATTCCGACAAATTAGGTACAGTAAAGCGAGTCTCTCTCCCCCCATGCTGGAAACTGCAATAAAAATCAAAACCCTATCAACCACTACACAGATTTTGACGAAATTTGGTATGGACATTGTGCCACTGAGACATACCTTAGAATCATACTTCCTTACACTTATCTAATGATGTACCTGGACAAAATTCTTCTGTACAAGCCAAGAAAACCACCTTTCTTGTTTCCACTGCCCCTCTAACCCACCCCACACCCTGACTATACATAACCATCACAATTCCCAATCTTACTCCAACTCTGAAGACGGAGATAACAGTTTCCCGCTAAACACAAGTTGTCCCTACAAGACTGAAAGGGTTAACAACCTAAAAGACGACAATCCGAATTCCATCATCAGCCATTCACATCTGAGACGTACTAGCCTATTATGGTCTCTGAGATGTGATCACCATAAAAACAGTCGCTATAAATATGATATATTAGTCGTTTCAAATTTCTATTTACAAAATAAATAAAACAAAGTGGGCCACAACACTTTCTGTAACTATAACAGAACAATATAAACATAGGAATGTCATTACTGAAGAAAGTACGAAAGAAGTAGAAATTTAAAATGGTAAAGTAAAGTAAAGTTTGTCCCACTGTACGCCATGTAGGCGTTTGGGGTGAGTGGAGGTATAGCTCCTCTCTTCCTTGACCTCGGCACTAGATGGGGGTGAGTGGTCAGCATCACGCCCCGGCCGTGCTTTACCCCCGGGAAAGGACCCTGGTACCCATTGTAGAGGAGGCTGGGTGGGCCCCAGAGCCGGTCTGGACGCAGAGGCTAGAGGAGAAATCCTCTGCCCCCGTCGGGGATCGAACCCCGGGCGGCCCGCCCGTAGCTAGTCACTATACTGACTGAGCTATCCCGGCTCATAATTTAAAATGGTACACCGAGAAATCAGATTGCAAGATATGACGGTGTCGTATATCAAATCTGACCTTGCTTATTCGCGCTACAAATGTAAATAAACTTCGCTCCATTTCATTTCACTTTACGAATGAATCTTATGCTTAATAGCATATGAGCAAGACATTACATTCATGTACTTGTAACTATAAAGTCTGCCTCCAAATTGGCATAAGACAACGCAGATAGAAACGTGGCGTCTGACCTTTCTCCTCCTTACTAATTACTGGAAGTGCTTTAGTGTACGCCCGCATCAGTTCCTCAAAGCCTAAAAAAATGTACAAGATCTACATTTAAAAAAACAACATCATTTCTCCAACACATGCCACGTTTCCTCGATTTTAAGACACCATCAATTGTGAGATGCACCCCTGATGTAGTAATAGGTTTCCAGGGGAAAAAAACACGTGCTTTCAATAGGAATTGTCGATATCCAAACATAAAACTTCTTATCCTTTACTTTTACGTTTACTTTCCCTTGCCTAGCGTTATGGAAACGCGGTTGCCCTTTCGTAATATAATATAATTTTCCTACACTGAATTTCAGAAATTTTAAAATGTGAAAAAAGTGTATCTCAAATCTTCTAGGTTGTTGCGCCGTATACTCTGGTAGAAGTTTACTGACGTTTCAGAGGACCTTGCCGCCTCCATCATCAGAGCAGCCTTGATGATGGAGTTCCATTCAGGTACATGAACACTAATAACGCACATTTGTCACACCAAATAGGTGTAAGGCAATGTCCTAGGTAAGCGATAAGTAGCGAGCTGTGCGAGCTGCATAAGCAGCATGGGGTGTCATATGACATAAGGGAATCGCTTGTTGTGTCCTACGTGAGAGACTGTAATAGAAGCACACGGTCTTTCTGCGCATGCACCTTCCCTGTACTGCACAGTCAGAGCTTTTCTGTGCATGCGCCTTAGTGGTCAGCTCAGCGACCTGCGCGAAAATATCAAAATATTTGATCTTGGACTCTGGACGCCGGCCGCTTCGCTGTAACATAGGACAGCGCCACACAAACAGCCAGTTTGATATTTCCGCTTCGCCCACGCAACTCGCACCGCTCGCATTCAGTC